AAAATGTGAACGTAAAAGTGAAGTGATCATACGTCCAGCTTGGCTCCACAAATCTATTCAAGGGGGCATTATCTATCACAACCGACAGGACAGGAAAAGCAAAAATGTCCTTACCGATTGATTCTCTGATCCCAGAGGAGTGGGACTTTCTTCCCGCGTTCAGACATTTTGTGTTCACGGTAAAAAGTGGCTCCTGTACGCGGTATGCAACTGGGCGCCGACTGCAATACTGTTATACTGGTGCCCAGCTGAACACCTAATTTGATTCAGCCGCTTTCCACAAGCTTCAGTTTGGACTTCTCGGAGCAGCACTGCACAGGAAATCCGGGACTAACTTTCAGATGTAATCACAATTAGTGGCCCCAGGATACCTCCCACCCGTGACCAGACACCGCTAACGCTACCACTCAGCGAGACGACTCGCACCGCCTGCAAGCAAACAAAGCGACGTTCCGCGGCAAATGTGACTCGAGCTGATTGGCGCCACTGAGGCCGGTAGAGACATACAAAACTGACTGTTAAATGAAATTCGCTCGATCTGCACCTTGAATGACGTCTGTAGGAAATGTTATTTATCAGCAAAGGATTGATCCAACAATTACTAATGATTCGGAAGCATGAAGAAGCTTGTTCATTACAACATGAATATGAGACAGTTTTTCACTAAAAAAACTGAGCTGATTTTGCCCACTGATCCTGGCATGCTCAGACTAAGATTTACGGCTGCTCATACGGTAAAGTGTATGATAGCAGAAGTGTGGTGTGGGGCCACAAACTTTTGCAAGTTGTGCAGGCCGGTACTCATGGAGCTTCCAAGTGGGTGTGGGGCCACAAACTTTTGCAAGTTGTGCAGGCCGGTACTCATGGAGCTTCCACCGTAATAAAAGGGGGCATTTAAGCCAAATGGCCTCCGATGTTATTTTTAGTCTTGACTAAGACGTAACTGGTTGGCATAATGCAATACAACCACCGTCTTCGATTTGTTTTCTTTTGTGAGAGCCCTGGCCCCCAGCGTCGAGTTAGGGCTCCCCAATGTTGGCTTGGCCCTCCAATGTTTTTGCTTGGAATGCTTAAAAAAATGCGGACAAAAGATGAGCATGACAAAAATACTATCTTCTTTTATCTTTCTGCGTAGTGGCGTCTCGTACGACTCATAACAAAGTATTGGTTGCCCTTACCATCAGATGCAAATCATAACAGCTGAGCGGATGAACGATGTAATAAACTTCACATACTTAGCGCTATAAGACTCGCAATGGTTTGTGATGTTCAAGTGAAAAGTTCTGGAATACGGGATGACCTGAGTCCATGGCGAACTCCACACGCGTCCCCATAGCCAAAATGCGTGCGGCCTCCCATGACCGCCAAAGAAGAGCGCCATCGGCGCCCTAAGGTGGCCTCTAAAGGAGCGCCTTCACGTGCCGATCAGAAGGGACGCTGCGTCCAGTGCCCGTGCTCCCTGGATCCAACCCTGCGTGATTTCCATACTGCTTAAATCAAAGGCTTTTATACATTATACAAAGATAAAAAACATACATTGCGTTTAATCAAAACAAAGTGGGCTAAATCCGGTGAGAAAAATGGGAGTGAGGAACGTGGGTTGACGGGCCTTCGGTTCGGCCCCCTCACTAATTAACAGAAATTGGCACCCCTGAATATGACATGAATATGTACACATATTTTGGGGCGCCGGTAACATTTTGCGTCTACATTTATTTTTTTCGAGTTACTAGCCTCTCCTTCTTCCTACTTGCGCTCTGGTTCCGTTGGACGAAATTCCCTCCCCTTGGTTACGCTGAACATAATTGCTGGTTGTTCACGACGCGTCCCGTCGTATGACAGGGCACCATCAGGGCGACGATGTCGGGCCCATCGCGACCATTTGGTTCTTGCCGTTCTTTCTCTGCCCGGCTGTTTTTATTGTGCAGCCTCTTCCTGGAACAAATTAATTGCCATCGCCCCGCCGCAAAAGCCCGAAATGATTTTGTGTGGCGGTTGGATTATGGGATCACTTTACTTTGCGCCGAAAATACATTACATATGTGATGTGAGCTTACCTCTCGCTTTGAGTACATTTTGCGTTGATTAAAGTTGGCCGCTTTGCATTATACCATTACGCTATTCTAGTTAACTCTTATTGAACCTTATCCACTTCACTGCATAAATGACAATATCTCTATCGATATTTTCAACAGATATTTCTTTATGTATTGCATCGCTACGGACCATCCGCACATCGCATGGTTATTCTTGGCCTACGGCACGTTTTGCAAGATGTTATAATCGCTCTACTTTCATAATCTTCATGTGACGAGCTGACTTTCTTTTTTTGTTAATATAAATTTTCGATATTTCTTTCTATACTCTCAAGCGAAATTTCCCATACTGACCACCATTATGTTAACCACGGCTTTCCATAACGTTTCCCCGTCAACTTCATTTTTACCGTGCGCGTAACTCGGAGCAAAGGCGCCTCGCTTTTTACATAATGTCTTGCCCACCGACGAATTCCTCACCGACATCAAACGGTAATCACGAGATTCTCAAAGCACAACTCGCATGGAATCAAGCGCTGTGACTCACTCAATAAATTAGTAGAAGTTCCTGCATGGTTTTTTGAAGTTACTTACGCGCACATGACGTGTAATGCATAATGTTATGAATTCCCTTCTAGAACAGACAGCGCGGGCAGCGCGGACCCCAGCATATTATAACCAGGGAGGGGACGCATCGAAGCCACATCAGTGTGAGGGTTAGCGGGCTAAAAGTTAAAGTGAGGATTAGGTAAAAGTTAAAGGTAAAGGTTTACGTGAGGGTAAGAGGGTTAAAGTGAGCCCCTTGGCCCTTTCAGTAGAGTTCATCGGTCTCCGAGCCCTTTAGACCCCTTATCGTCAAATGTCCTTGAGCCATCCCAACAACTTCATGAGCCGGAGTACTTTGTCTGTTATTTGTGACCGCCGTATAATCTTTGCCGTAGTGACCGTCTTTGGACGTGCGATCCCAATATGGTTCATACTATGCGGTGTCGCAACATAAGTGCTGCGGTATAGGCTCATGCAGACCGGAGTGCTACAATATAAGTTTATCGCGATGTTACTTCTGTTACAATTTTTAATACCTATATACGACATCAGTGCTACGTGACAAAATGTATACCTCAAAAGCTTATACCCGTCATTACCTCTGCTGCAAAAGTTATAATACAGTCATCATCTATACGCAACATTTCTTATATTGCCAGGTGCTAAACGACAAAAGTTTTGCTTAAAAAAAAATTACATCCATCATTCCTTCACTCTGCAAATTTATCCATTTATTACGATTCATTCTGCTACAAAATCACACTCGACATTAATGTTCGACGACAAAACTCATATGCTTCAAAAACTTATACCGGTCATTCATCTATTGCGACAACTCTGGTAGTCATTACTTAGATGTCCCACTACTTTTACTGCAACGACTTTAATGTAACATTAGTGCTACACGTCAAAATTTGAAAAATGATGAAAAACTTTCATTTGAAAAGCTTCTGATCAGCATGATTACTACTCCAGAAAATCAGATAGCATTTATTTATAAATATTATTGCTTTTTTGCCAATGCTCATGCGCAATATTTGTGCCATACAATACAGGGCATGTTTCGCAAATCATAGCATCGGCACTTCCACTCAGTTTAAGGGTGTACCGACAATACTTCTAACGTACATACTGCTAATGACAGAACTTGCACGACACAACTTCTGCATGGCATTGCTTCGAATACAAGAATACCTGAAGCAATTAGCTTCCACGCGTCAAAACTTCTAACAAAACAATTGCTAACGCAAAGACTTCCACACCTCATTGCCACTACGCAAGAAAACGTCTAAGGTAAAAACATCCTCGCGTCATCCTTCTATTGCGGACAACTTTTACGCGACAAATCGTCTATTGTGAAACATCTGCACGAAATTGCCGTCATGCAACAAAATGTCTAGCGCATAACCTTACGCACAGCAATATCACGTTTGTCAAATCTTTGGATGCATGACATTTCATAAGTTTAAATTTCATCGCAAAGCTTCTGTGCGACATTACCTCTCAGCTACATAACTTCTAACATATAGCTTCTATGCGACCTTACTTTTTATTCAAAAATTTGAAACGCACAGACTTATACACGACAAACTTCTGACGCAGGAAATTCCATGCGTCACTGTTTCTCACAAGGAATGCAAATTCCAGTTTTTTCTTACTTCAGACACCTCGGTGAAGAGAGACCAGATAACTCGGGATGGAAGGAGGCGTGTGCCCGCATATGACACACCGTCCTGTTACAGATGACGGTTGGATGGGGCCCTCGACTGAATATGAGACCACATGCCTAGTGCGGTGCTCACTAAAGACGCGACATTACAACTACTACAATGACTTACATATAAGGCTTTAGGGTTGCACGCCTACACAATAAACTAATACTTCCAAAAAACATGCACGTCATTGGATTTCTGCTGCCAAAACTGCAGCTTTTACCCATCCGCCAGGCACGATGAATCGACAAAAAGGCAGCGAAATGGTTAACCAAGTTTTCGTATTGTTATCACGAACTTCAAATTTCATTATTCCTCAATTTGGGTTCCATCTTAACCGATAAGTTGTTAGCTAGTGACTAGTTAGCTTAGTTCCTACACCCCTGCTTGGTATTCACACATTCTCCACTCCACGGCTAAATGCTGAAAGTAGAAGCAATGTTGCCCGTGCGTAAATACTGCAGAAGTTTTTGCAATGGAAGGAACGCTGGGTATAAGTTTTTAAGTTGAAATTTTGTCGTGTAGCGCTAATTTTGCACATAACTGTCGGCATTAGAAGTGATGGCGCGTATAGTTGAGGATTGCATTACTTTGACAGCAGAAATAATGACGGACACATTTTTGTAGCTAAAGCATTGTCGCGTAGCATTAATGTCGCGTATAATAATTTGCAGTGTAAGTAATATCTTAGCACTCCGGTCGGCAGGAGTCTTTTCCACGAAACCAATGTCTTGGAACCCCTTTGAATGCAGAAGTACGACCTTCAGAGGGTAACGCAGCGGCCTGAAACTTTGAACGCGTTCACGTCTAAACGCTTCCGTTGTTTTTACCCACGAACACAGGTGGTCGATGAACAGGGACATTTTCGCCTCGCAATAATTACACCTGTCTTTTTTGCGCTGTTGGTTTATTAGACCTCTATACAGAATAATGAATGACCCGCTCAAACGTGTCATGTGCAAGATATTTACCAATGAGGTTGAATGTAAGGTTAATATACCAATCTGTGCTTATATCTTTTGTCTCATCGTAACCATTTAAGCACGCAAATCCTTGAGAACTTGACGATCTATAAGCATGCTTGCAAACTTTGAAAAAAATGCACTTGCCACTTAAAAACAATTTTTAGACTGGAACGGAATGACTGGATGCAATACAAATTGCGTCATGAAAATATGTCATGGCTTCATAAGATTTTCCTACGATCTAGCGACGTTTTCGACAGGAACGTATGCCCTGATAGACCATTGTGTACCACCTGTCATGTGTACGGAAACCAGAGTAGGATAATGCTCTTAGCACTGAAAATATACCGGTATTTATATATAACACCACGAGTCACGCAGTGCATATATTTAGGCATACAAAAATGCTTTGACCCGCGAGAAGGTTGTAGACACTCGGCGACGTGTGTTGATTTGCGCTCTGACATTATGGCATGCCAATCAGTGCCGTGTTGGAGCGATGATATGCTCATAAGATTTGATTGAAAAATTGGTGTAGTGACGTCTACCATTGCGCGCCTTTTAGCGGCAAAGCGTGCGGTTTGCACGCGTGCCCGACATGGGCGGCCAGCATAGTTCTCTGCCACGCCGTGAGGTGTCGCCTCGGACGCACTACGGTGTTGGATGGCGGCGCTGTCGTTCGAGGACGGGAGTCGTAGCGTGAAGCCCACGGAAGCAGTCGTCAGGTAGAAATCAGGCAGGAGGAGGCCAGGCCGTGCTTGATGATGTTGGTCATCGCCATCACTGTTGACGTAGCCCCGACCACCACCCCCAGGACGATGAGCGTCACCAGAATGGCTCGCTCCCAAACCGGTAACGCCCTGGAACAAAGGGATCACTTCAGTCGGTCGCTCTCCACTGTTAACGTCTCAGGGAAAGAGGAGATTGGGAAGGAGGGTGACGCTGGGGAATGAGGGTGACGAGTCGATAGGTGTCATGGCACTCAGAATTTCCGAAGATGCTGGGCGTTAACCCAATGGCGATGCATGGAAGGAATCGGCTTCAAAATTTACTTTAGCAGCCCGCTTTCTGAGGCGCTCCTTCACCTATGCTCTAGAGTTACCTCCTTTGGCTTTGTTGGTTTCCATCTGGATGTGGTTAAGTTTACAGCTAAGCACTGTTATTGAAATGAGACACTTAGTGGCAACCTCATGCCCATAAACAAAAAGATTGTGCCAAAAGCACTATAGATATACTTTGTGACCGTCGCTTCGTCAGCATATGCCTTTGCTTTTGCAGCCAGAAAAGCAGGCCATTATTTTTCTATTTGGATACATCCATTTGATGTTTGCTCGCACTGAGCCAAAAGCAGTTGCTCCGCTTTTGCTCGTTTTTTAAACTAAGACAGGCATTTGTAAGATCATGCCTTGCAGTTCATAGTCATGCCTTTTCAAGACTTAAAATCGTCTTGTTTCCGAGCTTAGCGCATGTGAACTTGTGCAGCCTATTTCGCGCCGTCTATTTGAAAGCTACCCAGATATGTGTGGGGCCAAAGAAATGTCGCGCATGTACCCACGCTTCATTCGCCCCATTGTGTTTTAGGTCAAGAAAAATACGGTCAAGGAAACATTTATGTTTGGAATACACGAGTAGGAAGTGTCCCAGAACTCAAAGACAATTGGCTAACAGGCAGTTCAAACTGCTGATGGCCTGTACAGACCACGAACCGCGTCTTCGGATAGATTGATGCACACGGCCATGAGGCCGAGATTGAATAGTTCAGAATAGATCCCAGACCGAGGACGCAAATGCAAGTTAAAAACAAAAACAAGGACAAAACATTCCACCATACAACAATAACACCACCAGAAAAGGACAAAGCACACGTACACATAGCAAGTAACAAAAACATTCGTGCCTAGACCAGTAACACCAGCTTGAGGCCCAGAGAAGTACCACGCGGGAGTTACGCCGTCCGCTATAGCGGCAGATCTGACGCAGCCAGTCTGGCAGTGACTCTGACGCAATGAAATGTTTTCACGGCGTGATCAAATGGTGACGTACTGAAGAGAACATCACATGCAAATTAACGAACCTTTGTCCTTTATGACAAAGCTTCGTTTGGAAGTTCGCACTGAAGCCGCCTTTCACAATTCAATGCATGCCAGTAGTCACACGGGAGCTCTTCCATCATATCTAATGTTTACCTCCGTATCTTCAAAGGTAGAACGCTCCCCTTAAGAAGATAAGGCATCTTAGTATACATGTTCAGTGTCGTAAACAAGTTTTGTGGCGGGAATTTTTTCCCTCTAAAGGAGATAAGCATGTGAGAGAACTTGGGATACGATAATGAGGGATCTTGTTTGCTATGGTCTGCAAATCGGCTTCCGTTCGCCACATCTCTGTTCGCTTTGTGTAGCTGATTTATGCTCTGTGGTTCCGTGCCACGCAAGCTTACTGCATAAAACGGCGGCGATAAGATACACGTAAGACGTAGGCATATGTCCAAAAGACTAAGCCTCCCCTCACCCCGTCCCCAGTGTTGAAATCGTTGAGTGATCTACGGTGGGGAATGATTCGAGAGCGAAACCTGCCTGTTCGGTTGCTAGGTGACGCCTTGGAGAACTGCCGGCTCGGCCGTTTTGAGCCGAGGCGGGCGCTCACGCGGGGTATCCGCTGGGCGGGCAGCGCGTGCGTGTGCCCCGGGCAGGCGTAAGCTGTCTGGAAGCGTGGTGTGCGCGGTGATCAGGCTGACGGTGATCAGGGTGATCAGGCTGAACAAAACGGTGTGGTGTGGTGTGTGCCAGCGTGTATATCGGTGGCGGTAAGTCGACTGAGGAATGTGTGCTATCCGAGAGGATAGAAATGAGGTGTCTGGGAGTGCGACGTGCACAAATCTGGAAAAGGGACCCCAAAGACATGGCAGGGCTCACCGAAGAGAAATGAATGCTGCGTACAAAGCGCGGCGCATCCATTTTCAGAGGGTCAATGGAAAATAAAACTCTTTAGATTGCAATGAAAAGCTTGTAGGTCCCGGTCTATATATACAGCATGTCATCGGCAGAATCCAAAGCCGGAAAAGTCACTTGCTTTGTAGAGGCTGCATAGGTTCCCAGAAACGTTAAAGAGACTCTTGAGGTTATCAAGAGGAGAAAAAATTTGCGCTCCATTTTTCACGAGGAAATTTTCTCATGAAATCCCTGCTGGGGGATTCGGTACTTCGACCGCATCAGACTTAATTGAACCCGGCTTGAGGGGCTACACCTGAAACAAAAACGGTCGGTCTGAATGAACTAGCTATAAAAACTTGAGTGTCGTATTTTAAAAGGCCTTGTGGGCAAATTAGAGCTTGCTCCGCTGACGTCGAGCAGCAGCCAAGCCCCCTGTTTCATTACTGTTTTTGTTTGTTGCTGCTATCATGGTGTTCCGCGACACCAATATTCGTCAAAATAATTAGCCAGGATATGCCAAACAAGGTTGGTGTCTTAGCAGCGATAGTTAGGTGACGAGACAGAGAAAACCACAGCGTGCAAAAGAAGACAGAAACGCAATGGACAAGAACTACAAATAAGACCAGCAGAAGCACCAGGACATTAAGGAATACCCGGTTCTCGGCCCACAGAAGTATCAAAATTCCCAAAATATCACGGGTGTAAAATGATCAGGAATAAGCATCAAAGTCAGGCCTAATAATAATCAAGGTTGCTGAAACGCCGCTGTCCCCCTAGAACAAACAGACTTACAGGGGCTCCTAAAACATCAGGAGACGCCCAGGAATTCAAAGAAGTTCGTTTTGGTGTTCTGTGCACAGAGTTGCCACCGATGCTACAGCATACATTGGTTTCAGGTCTTTATCTTTCCCGCTGGTCTCCGAAATACAACCAAGCTGGGCAATCGCCAGCATCTAAGCAATCTTTACACATGTGCAGTGTTGGTGCCCGCTCGAGCGCACGTGACGGGCTTCGAACAGCGACCAACACACGCGCTAGAACAATCTTCCTGTCTCTCCTCGGACAAAAGGCGTTGGTCCAATGATGACGTGGCCTCAGGTCACCGAGATGACGGCTTCGTTACTCAGTAACGAGATGATGAGGTGCTTAGGAAAAACACTGAAGGTATTGGTGTTTTTCAACTGTTATTTTTGATTGCAAGTTTATCGTTACCCAGTGAATGGAACAGGACGCGAATTTCTGGCGCTGCCTTGTGTGTGAAATCCTGCATGATCAGGCGGCTTTCAAGCTCATGCCTTGCAGCACGACTTTAAACAAACATGCCCCTTCTCGATGAAAACTTCCCGGTGGCACGGGCAGTCATCGCAAAGCCGTAAGCCCCTCAGAAGTGCCGCAGGCCCGCTCGGGTTGAGACGGCTCGCTTAAGCTACAAAATATCCGGTTAGTTGACCTTAACAAGGGCTCGACCTGCGGTCTCTTACGTTATCAGTCTGCAAAGATGGGCTGCGCTACACTGCTAAAACCCATCAATATCCTGCACACGGAAGTGTACGGGAATTTTCTATCGAAACTGGTCTATGGCTTAAATTAACATGAACAGCTTAAGATGACTAGCTCATTAACTTCAACAACATGACAGTGAAAACCCAACAACAACACACATTTGGCAGGACATGGTTCTATCTCAAATTTGGAATTCTCGGCAGAGACTACCGGTAGTTGATACATCTGACATCTATCAGCTGTTCCAATTCGAATGTGGTCGGACGAAAATAAAACATGCAGCACCCTCGACGAGCAACGTCCTTGCTGCCGCAATTGGTCAACCTAACGCAACGTCCGTGCTGATAGTTTGGGCAACAATTTAACAAGTGAACTTGTCAAAATGAAATGGCTCTTATACCGCTGTTAACTATATTCCACTCGTAAAATTGCAAAGAAATATACATTTCCAGTAACATTGGAAATCCTTGCTCTCTCTCTCTCTCTCTCTCTCTCTCTCTCTCTCTCTCTCTCTCTCTCTCTCTCTCTCTCTCTCTCTCTCTCTCTCTCTCTCTCTCTCTCTCTCTCTTTCTCTCTCTCTCTCTTCTTTCTTTCTTTCTCTCTTTCTCTCTCTCTTTCTCTCTCTCTCTCTGTCTCCTCTCTTTCTCTGTCTCCCTCTCACTCTCTCTCCCTCTCTCTCTCCCTCTCTCTTTCTCTTTTTCTTTAAATCGCCGTATTTAGGAATAGTGCGGTACTGGCAGTATCAACGGACGGGGCAAGGGTACATGGGATCCTCCTTATCTAACCCGTCGGCTGCTGGCCCGCGGTCGCGGCGTCCGTCCCTTCCCCTCTCCACTTCCTCAGGCACGCAACAGTCCAACGGCCGTGCTCACACCACCCATAGGGCGTTCATCAGCGCTCCCAGCCGCGTCCAGCGTGGCTGACCCCCGCACCCGCCCGGGCTGTGCGGCGGCACTCACTCGGCGCTCCCAGCCGCGTCCAGCGGGGCTGACCCCCGCACCTGCCCGGGCTGTGCGGCGGCACTCACTCGGCGCTCCAGCGGCCGGCGGGGCTGACCCCCGCACCTGCCCGGGCTGTGCGGCGGCACTCACTCGGCGCTCCAGCGGCCGGCGGGGCTGGCCACCGCACCTGCTCGAGCTGTGCGGCGGCACTCACTCTGCGCTCCAGCGGCCGGCGGGGTCCGTCTGGCCGACCAGGCGTAGGTACATGGCGCACGGCAGGATGAATCCCGTAATCGCCACGCAGGACGAGCCGATCAGACCCAGCAGGTCCACGAAGTCGGGAACGGTCTCACCCACCAGCACCAGCAGTCCCATCAGAGCCGTGCGGAACAGCACCCGCCTCAGGTCAAACTCTGAAACGGTCGCCACGCCGGCTGTCACGCTCTGCTGGGCGAGGGCCAGGCCCTCACCTGGCGCGGCCGACTCGACACTGGTGCTGAAATGATGGAGGTGTTTGTCTCACAGACTGCCACGGGACTCGCTGCCTCATTTTTGTGTCGCTACTCCCGCCTCACGACTCCATATGGTCCAGACGTTTTGTTCAGTGGTATGATATAGTTTATTCTCAGCGCCCATAGATATCAAACAGACCAACCTAAGGAACTTTATTGTCAGGTTTCTAATAAAAGATAGCCGGCTTTAAGACGTTAGCTGCACATTTAATCCCGCGCACAATTGAAGTTGAGCTGTACGCAATATAATTGAATTGTGTAACACAAGTAGAGGATTCAAGATATTGGCCACTATCCACGACAGCGCGCACGCCTCCTGAACATTGCTGAAGAGGAAGGGGTTGTCAGTCATATCAATGTTTCGGCTTGAACACACACAAGCCATGGGGCGACTCACTGTCGGCCACGTGGAACACCGACTCCATTTGTTGGAAGAACGGGTTGATGACGACGAAGAATGCCGTCAACAAATGGACCAGGAAGAGAATTTCCGCCACCACCGGCAACATGCCGGGCGTCCTCGTCTTCAGCGTGTCCAGGATGTTGGAGGATACGCTGTCACCCGCGGCAGCGTAACCCAGCGCAGCGATGAGAACGTACAGCGTTATCAGACCTGAAAGGTTCAGATTTTTAGCGGTAAGGTCGCTTGGCAGCCAGCTAAAGGCGCCCATTTTTACAGCAAAGTAGTCTGAAGATGTCAGCTGGAATGCAAAGTTCAGGCGATTACCTGCTTAGGCCAGGACCAGGTCGACTTTGTCAGAGCACTTTTGACAATGGTGACATTCAAATGTGAAAGCGACAGGATTACCTCTCGGACGCGCAGGTAACAGAAAATATGGCGTAATGGCTCAGACTATTTATTTTGAACTTTGAAATACAGATATCAAATAAATGTCTAGCACCTATAATTAGCCACCAAAGGCACACCAGAAACAGGGTAGAAAAACACAGCAGGCTGGAACCGCGGCAGAGTGTTTCTTATTCACTTGTAAGGAGCTCTAGCACCCGCCCTCCCCCCTCCCAACTTTGGAGAAAGTGGTACATTCCAGGAGTAAAACCAGTTTTCCGTTATTTCGGGAGGGGTTGAGTCGTTTCCCTCGGCCATCCCCACCCCTAACTCATTTTGCGAAACTGTATCCCTCGGCTGAAATATATTTAGGGCGTTTAAGGCAGTAAATAAAGCATGTCGAGCATTTTATCACATCATTGACAACACATCACCAATGCCAGCCACTGTCAGCAACCCTATCTCACACTTGCCAACAAGTGCTGCATTTTTGCAAGACTTAAGTCCCGTCGATCTATGTTAAACGCGACGCGCCGTTCTAACGAGATAACCGACGAAGGCGTCATTTCAGTCCGGAAGCGAAACAGAGGTCGAGCCTAAGTCGCCTAGGACAGGTCCTCGACCGAGCTCATCAGAGAGGCGTGAGTGGCCCGGAAGAGACCGCGCTGAACCCGCCGCGGGGCGACAATTCCGCTGCGGAAAGTCAGACCGCAGACGCCCCAAGCCCGGCTTAGAGCTCATCAGGATGCTCCGAGCCCTCTGCGACGGCCCCTAAACAGGCGCGGGCGCCGGTAGCGAGGGGAGCCGGGGTGTCGCCGCAGCAGAACCTGTCCGGCCGGGCGTTGCGTGCAGGCGGCCAGGAAGTACATACCGGACCGGATCGGAGAGCGGGCGGCCACACCGTTACAAACGGGAAACACGGGACCTCACCACACCCGACGTGCACAGGGGGCGGCCGGGGGACTTATCTGCCCACGGCTCGCTGAGGCGGACGCAGGGTGGACGGCACCGCGTCCTGCCGACTCATTGAAGGGCGTCCGGCGCGGGACTGCCGGGAACGGGTTCGACCGGAGCGCGGGCCGGGCTGACCACTTTTATTTTCGAATACGCCTGCCGCGAGCCGCCGAATCCCCTGGTAACGCCGCATGACGCATGTCGAGGGATCTACGAGCATGCGAACATGCTGACTAATTGCGTGCTAGTGTACAGGAAGCATTATCCGCGCCCGCTGAAGCTGACAAACGCGCACAACCCTCTTGGAAGACATATTGAGGGCATGCATGTCAGATACCTAGTTCAGTAGCCAAAAGATGAAGTGTTTCCTGCCATATTTACAAGTGTTCAAGCTTCGGTCTGGCTAGGATAAGAGGCTTTGCGCCATTCGCGACCAATTTAAGGCTATCGGATAAAGGAGAGTGGACAGTGATGGGGAATATTACACGCACCTCAAAGTCAGACTTAACCCGCACGGGAACCCATCTTCGGGGTATGCGCTTGGCGCTCGGACGGGACCCCCACGTAAGCCAGCCCACTAAAGCCCCAACCACTTAAGCACAGGGGCACTGAAGCCCACTCATGGTTGGTGCATGTAGCTTACACCAGAAAAACGGAGCGTCGCAAGCATGCAGAGTATACGGCTAATCAATACAAACAGGCGGATTCTGAGTTTTCCTCTGAAGTTCTTTCAACGAAGATGGCAACCAACCGTGACAGTCTTGCGTGTCGGACAGATGGAGATTCGTCCATGCGAAATAGTCTGTCAACGCCATCAGCTCCGCTCACCGATCTTTGCGTATCCGTGTCATATACAGATGCTGACCATCTTGAGGTAACTGCTCTAAGACGTGTTGGAGGTAGCGCGTTTCTATCATCATTACTGCACATCACGTTGGGTTTGTCTCTGCGCGTTTACCAGCGTGTTCATGGGCAGATTGCAGAAATATTTACCTACACTGCAGGTAATCAAAAAGGGTACCAAGCCGCGAAACTCTCCTCTGGGGTCGCCGTGTTCCTGACCTGCGTATCCGACGATGACGGAGCGCGTGAATAGTTCTCGGCTCTTCATATCGTTTTGGATCGTGGGTAGTGTGGCGGTGCCGCCATAGGCGAAGAGGATCGGTCCGATGCCCAGGAAGAAGGTCAGGAAGTCGGGCTGGTGGAAGGTGGCCTTCTTGTGCAGGGTGTCAAAGTAGACGGAAAGCTGGACCATGGAAAAGAACCAGGCCAGCGAGGTGGTGGCCAGCGCTAGGATGCCGACCCACCTGGAACGGGTACACACTGAGGTCAGGCTACAGCGGTGCCGGTCCAAGTGGAACGGGCACACGCTGAGGTCAGGCTGCAGTGGTACCGGTCCAACTGGAACGGGCTCACTGTTAATTCGATCTTCTAAAAACCCAACGAAGCAAGTGGACACTGGTTGGCGCATTGTTTGCACAGCGATAAATGACAGAGCAGTCGAGCAACAGTTCCCGCGCTGGAAGGTACTGGAGCGGTGTTCACGGCGGATGAACGTGAGTACATTGCTTATTGTCTTCACCGTGTAATGCGCGCCCGCAGCACAAATACCACGGCCTGCTAGTGTCGATCTAGCCGACGGGCTCGGGCGTGCTCGTGCACCACGGTAACGATTGTTGTCGGTGCCGCTTTCATCAGAATTTGGGGAACTTGCACAGAAGCCGTTGCGGGAAAACCGATTCTTGGCACAAGACGGCCTATGTTTGTTCTGTAACGGCAGCGTGTTCTCAATCCTTAATAAGCTGTCTGTACTGATCTGCGACCATTTAGGGAACGTTCTTATTGCGACATACACGAACAATGCGGTACAGAAATTTTCTTCATGCACATGCTCCTGTTAAGAACTCTCCTGGACGCTTGCACCATTGCTTTCTCACCACAAATCCTTGGGCGTTCCAAGCCAGGACACTGGGATGAGGAGACAGGCGATGACTAACACCCAGAAGCAGTAACGCATCTCCACATAGACCGACAACAGGTTCTCCAGAATCTGGGCCACGATCAGCACGTATACGGTGCACGTCCCGAACGTGTTCACACACATGCAGACCGCAGCAAGTACCCTGAGAAGCACACGAGAGTACGCATTATTCTTGCATGGTTGAACATATTGAGAACAAGGCTCTTGGTAGCATCCATGCCGACAACAGTTGTGACCACATTGGATGGCAAAGAATATAATGATAGCACGGTTGGAATTATTTGCTTTGTCGTTGTGTACCTTTCCCGAAAGCACCACTGGTGTCTAGAAGCAGTTTGTTTGCATTCTCCGCTGCCTGGAGCCATCAGCAACATCTCGTGGAAAGAGTCATCCCCCAGCTGTAAGAACTACCCAGTACCATGCCGATCGATTTGGCCAGCCGCCCAACCCGCCTCTGCCCGTGCCGCCAGGTGCCGGCAGCTCTCACCGGCCGCATGACCCGAACGCCTTCTCGGCGATGTCGGGGAAAGGCTTTTGGGAGTGACTCTTGAGCTCCGGGTAGCGGCTCTCGATAATAAGCCAGGACCGGGACAAGCACATGCCGCAGTAGGCCGAGCCGAAGCCGACTAGCAGCACCACCAGCACGCCTACCCATCCTGCAACACCAGCAGATAATCGACTCAACCAGCTGGGACACACTCAGTCGGCAACATCAGCGGCGAGCACCGACCAGGGGCTGAGACCCACCCAGTCTGCAACACCGGCGGCAAACACCGGCCAGGGGCTAAAACCTACCCAGTCTGCAACACCAGCGGCGAACACCGACTAGGGGCTGAGACCCACCCAGTCTGCAACACCAGCGGAGAACACCGGCCAGGGTCTGAGACCCACCCGGTCTGCAACACCAGCGGCGAACACCGGCCAGGGTCCGCGTTCACTAGCCTGCACCACTAGCGGCGGACGCAGGCACCTGAGGCCGACACAGCCTGCAGCAGCCGCAGCGGAGCAGAGGACCGGCCAGTGAGAACATAATCAGCTCGTGCCATCGACTCACCCGTTTGCGTCACCGAGAAGGGCAGCGCCAGCATCCCGCTGCCGGCGATCTCGCCTATGATGAACACAGCCGCCATCAAGTACGAGATGCCGCCGACGTCGACGGGCGCCTGGCCGGGCGCGGTCCTCTCGTCGCCGCCCGACTTGCAGCGCTCGCTCGATGGGCCATCCCACACCACGTGACACGAGTTCGCCTGCGGCGCGTGGGAGCTCGGGTCACGTCGGGTCCGCTCACTGGCCGGAGAATCGTGTTATAGTGCTGGCTGATGTGTAAGGTGTAATACAGGGTTGTATAATCGAGGACAGGAGGGGCAGATGGGCATCACTATAGCATGTGTGGTAGGCATTCGGGTGTTATGAGCCTTTCACCAGTTCACGGAAGACTGCGTCACCTGACTATGGAAATGAGTACTGACTTACTGACTGCAAACGTATACCTACCAAAAGGAAAATATAGTTATTGCAGCCCCAATGATATCTGGTGCGGAGAAAATTAACACTATTCGTGCAGTGTAAGTAAATATAAGGCCACCTCATGATCAGCGTCCCACGATCCGGAAGCTCGCTTTTGAAGGCAGATTCGCAGCATGGCAGCTACAGAGCTGGCCCATGTCGGCAGGTCATGGGTCAGGCGAGCAGAACTGATTCCTAGCAATGGCTAGTCGAGGTATCGGGCCAGTTGTGATTCACAGCCGCACATAGATGATTCTCAGTAATGGCTGGTCGGCTGTATCGGACCTGGTGAGGCCCTTCTCCGGAGTAAACAGCCCGGCTGGTCTTATCGTCCGCCGAAGGCTGGGCGCTGACGTCACAGACATACACTGAAACTATGCCGCCTTCCGATTGACTCCCTGACACTTGGAGACCCGAACACTCATGAAGCGCTGAAACGCGCAACGTTCAAGCATGATTTTGTAACGCTTGAGATCAGCGTTTAAACGTATGCACCACGAAATGACATTTTTTCCGTGATTGCTGGAATACGATGTGAATTAATGCATCAGTCCGCATCAGCCCATGAGTCTAAAGTGATTTGATGCGGTCCTTTAGCAGTTGCATTAATTCAGTGAGGTAAGTACTAAACAGCTCTAAGTTTATTGTTTTCATTCAGTGAAGTTCACTGCACTAATACGAATAAAAAAACACACCGAAAGCCTGAGCTTGCGGCAATATGTATGCTTACGCTAAGGAAGGTCTGTTGACTTTGTCTTCCTGACTTTTCATTGCTTTCATTTAACTTCGCTATTTGTCGAACACTTTGTGAAGCCATCTCAAAATGATACGGCACAAAAAAGCAAAGTTCGCCTTTTTGATACTTAGTTGGAACAAACGGTGCGTGGAATAGTGTATACTTCTGACGTTAGACGTAAGCATGGCATAGCAAAGCACAAGTAAAGACTTTCTTCTGTACTCCTAGCCCTATATTTAAAGTAACTTGCGCTGCTTTGCTTAAATTTGTCACCCATGTTGTCCAAAGTGCGCGAAGATTGCATCGGCTTCGTAATTCTTCATAAACAATTTTTAACTTAACGTGCACGTGAAACCTGCCGAGCGGGATCTTTGAGTTGTTAGCTAATATTAACATGCCAGAACGCCTGAAGACCCGGAAACCTGGACTTAAACCAGCTATAAGTTCTGATATTTTGTTCTTAGTTATCGGCCTTCGGTATACCAGGAGGTACCCGTTAATTGACGTTATAGGGCAAACACAGGCTATTTTGACAGCGTTCGACGGTGCAACCTGTGCTTATAACCGCAAGTGCATAAGCTCAGCATGAAAGCACAGCATAAGCATGACTCGTGATCATAATCACAGCTTGAGATATCCAGTGCTTTCAATATAGCCATTGTTTATTTCTATAGCGTCAATTAAACGAGTTCGCTCCTGGCATAATGAACGTCGATAATTCAACATAAGAACTGGAAGCTTATAGGGCTGAGTGCTAATGGATCCCGATCTCTCTAGACGAGCTCTACGCCTCTCTCGCGAGATACTCGCTACTCATCTTAGCGCGCTTCCCGCGAGCGCTAGAGAATACTCAATCTCTCTCCATCTCTCGAGCTTCTCGAGCACTCTCTCGTCTCCTCTCTCTCTCTCTTCTCTCTCTCTCTCTTCCTCTCTCTCTTCTTATCTCTCTTCTCTCTCTCCCTCTCTTTCTTTCTTTCTTTCTCTCCCTTTTCTTTCTCTTTCTTTTTCCCTTTCTCTCCTAAAATGCTGACGCAGATGCGGTCATAATTCCTCAAAAACAGATAAGGTTAACCCGTCATTGAACCCTTTCGCAGAGATGTAAGACATGGTCTTGAACACGCGTTAACCTGTCCGTGCGCACAGTGTTGTCATCCGTGCATCCGTTAACCATGTAACAATACTAACCAACCACGTATTGCGAAGTAGTCATCCAAATAGTACGAACATTCGTTCGCGTCTATTCATTCGTTCGCGTGCTAATTCAATGCCGGCGCCACACTAACGCGAGCCGCGTGCTGGGGCGTGCCAGCTGCCGCGTGGTGCAGAGCTCCTAATCAGGGCTGTCCGTGGACCGGCGGAGCGTGAGCGATCTGGGCAGTTAATGGCGATTACCGCCAGCACTTACCCATTCGCCAGGCCCCACCTGGCTGGACTGTGCACACTGCAGCGCGCGCCTTTGCAGCCAGGATGTCCTTCCACATGCTGCCAGAGCGGGTCTCGGAGTGGGTGCCAGAGCGGGTGCGAGAGCGGGTGCCAGAGCGGGAGTAAGGCGGGGCGAGGCTGAGACCTCTGTGTCCTCGTGACCGCGCATCTGGCCCCGTCATACCAAGAGCTCTTTGAAGCCTACGGGGTTTTGCAAACGTTTATAGGCGGAAGATTATTTCAGTCTCTCTCCGTGTCCATATGTGGAGCTGCTGTTATGATTAAGAATAGTTCGAGCCAGAGAGCCGCAATTTTGAGCTTTTATTAGTCGTGCTCTTGCATCTGCACGACCAAATTAGTACCTTGCTACATCTGCGACGTCGTCCTTTTGTGGCCAGAAGATGGGCTTTTACGCTGACTCTGCACTTGCTTCAAGAGTTGGTCTCGCTGGGATAACGTCCACGTTTCCTGGCTTTCCATACCGAGTTGTGTGACTGCTCATTACGAACGCCTGGGGCAGCATTCAGCTACGACTCCAGAAGTAAAAAAACAAAACAAAAGATCCCGGCGGTCAGTGGATCTTTTGGTATTCTTGTGAGGTCTTTCATGTGGTATTCATATAGAAGCCATTATCAAAGTATCTCCTTTTCGCAACAAGTTGTGCGATAAGGCGAAAGGGTACTGGTCGAAAAATATGGCTGAAACATTTCGTTGGCGAGCAATAGGCGTGCGCATGGTCTTGAGCCTGCACTGCTAACAAGCTCCAATAACTGATGATTCCGGCAAGGCCCAAAGGCGAAGTTGTGACGGAAGCAGTACACAGAACGTCACACAAGACGTCGTGCGCTGCTTTCCAGCGCTCTGACGCCGCCTTCCCCACCTGTCGCGGGTGGTCGCGCGACAGTTCGCCGCCGGTTCCCTGAACCGAGCAGAAGATCTCGTGGCTTACGGCGTGGCCGCGCGGCATTGCCGTAGGGCAGTCAGGGGCGCCGGCGTGCGCTGCCCGGCATTCCGTGCATGCCTAATGGGCGGCGCGGTGGCCAGCCTGCCGGCTCCAGACGCCGCCGCTGCCGGCGCGGCTCTGGCCTCGGAGTTATGACATTTTTATGCGATCTGTTTATAGTTGGTTCGACATTGAGCGGGTTGTTGGAACTCGGAGGAATGATCCGGATGGGTTTTCTTCGGATCGGCGGACGTGGCGATACCCGCGGACGCTTGGCACCGACGGCGGTCTCCAACCGGAGCAGAAGAGTTCTCACCTCCACCGAACAGAGCCGACGATGGCTTCCACTAACGGCAGTGTCGTCACAAACAATAAAAAGAATTGATGCTAGATGTCACTCGACGGCTGTGTCGTGTCAACCTCTTCTAATTGACTGTGACGCTGACAGAGTGAGAGGCGTCAGCTTCGGCGTATTGGAACAGGCATCCGCGATTGGGACAAGTTCTTCGTGATTGGAATAATTGCTCGCAGGGCGAAATTTGAGGCTTGAAAACCAGCATCCACCTCGCTGCCCAGGCGACGACTCAAAAGAGATATTTGGCTGCATAAAACTAGCCTAAATTGCAGCTTATCGCCTCCCAACTATTGCGTGGAGCAGCTGCGCAGCAATGGTAAGGGTCTCATTAGTGAAATGCGATACTTATCACCGGTGACTAAGTCTGCCCGCAAGGCAATTATGTAACAGTCGGTCAAGACGCGTTGATCACGCAGCGCAGTCACCCTCTAAGCCCAACGCAGCGGAACACACCCACCTTAACACACCAAGCCAGACGCACCGGTGTGATAAGTAGCTTGATATAACACACACATCTTGCATCAATTTCTCTCGTGAAGGCGAGACACACACCTCAGGACACCGAGCCAGACTCACCAATGTGATAAGTAGCTTGACATAACGCACGCGTTTTGCATCAATTCCTCTCATGGGGTCCTTCACCTTTTGTCTCACGCTGGATTCCTTCAAACCAGCCCGAGCACCCGCGAGGTAACAAATGACGAAAACAAGAGCTGATGTCTCACTGCTAGCCACAAAGCATGCGTGCGTATTCGTTGCCCCATTTTCAATGGCTGACGCCTGGTTGTGATAAGATTGCGCGCTTCCCGTACGTGCAAAAGTACACAAGATTTTGTGTTGTTTGCGTAGTGTGAATGCTCAAACGTTTTGTGAAACATCGCAGAACACCGCGATATCCTCCAGAGACCGTCGGGTGCAAATGCAAACAATCCACTTGACGCGGGCAGCAGCTGGGGCAAAAGTCTTTCTGCAGTGCCTGCGTCTCATATTCACGATTTCTCTGTAAAACTGTCGCGTCATTTGAATCGTAATGTATAAGAAGATCCAGTAGACAAAAACTGACCAAAGTTCACATGAGCTGGAATCCTAGTAAACTCATACTGTTGGCGAGAGGACGCACTTTGTCCGCTAATCTGAGCGGGAGCGAGTGCACGCGTCATTTGAGCACCATTGCCATGGCCGCGAGAACATGGCTTGGCGAGCTCATTATTCCAATTTCTTCGTTTAAAACACTTCCTAGCACACCCCGCTGCACTTGCTCCCGTCCGTTTACATTGCCGTCATCGTTCTCATAGCCGGACAGGAAGCAGTGTCATCACGTTTCGACAGGGTCGCCGACATCGACATTGGATACCTCGTAGGATTTTCAGCTCAGGGGTGTTGAAGTCAGCGGCACGTCGCTGGCGCCCACACGCGACGCCGCGGGATCTGATCGGACATCGAAGCTCTGTCATGCGTGCCTCGTGCCCCCCGAGCAGGAATCCCACACCGTCTCACAACAGTCGTCACGCTGCACCGATAATATCTTTGCGTGACATGCCATAAATGAATGAAGGCTTAAATCGGATTACAAGCGGGGCTTGGCGATTCCAAGAGCCATTGAGCATTACCGTGCATCCGCCGCCTCTTGCTTAACGAGCGGCACCCACCATGGCCTCGCAAATATGCATGAAGCGGCCGCTGATTATAAAAGGGGTGTGCCGGAGATCTAGGGAAAGCGAAGTTTGTGTAGTAGTAGCGTATTCCTGGAAGGCGTTTAGTTTTGGAAAATATCGTGAAATTTGCTGTGAACAGGCCCATAGGACGAGGAAATCTCATTGTGCTTGTGTTAGCGTAAAATCATCGAGTCAGTAATCTGGCCTGCCCCTGCTGCCGCGCCTTCAGGGGGTGTATCCAGTAATTCATGTTTACACGGATAGATTCCAGCACCAATTATAATTTGTTGCCCAATTCTTCAAAGGTTGTTCTGTGCTGTTTTCCAGGCCATTGCGTGGAAACTGTTTGATTACACATGATTTCCTGATGCATCGCAATATTACCAAAAGCTAACCTGTTCATTCAGTTATCGTGAAATCATACAAATTCGTGCTATTAGAGCATTACCACAAGACCGGTCAAAGTCACCCTTACATCGCGATTACCCGAGGATGTAGTAGCGCGGGGTCAACACCAGTTGCATGAGAACAGGAACGGAGAAGCATGCTGGTGCAGGTGATCATCCCAAGGTGAGACAGGTCACACGCATCCCACATTCTGATGCGGGTAAAATGAGAAGCCCCACTGTGTGCCTGCATGACGTCATTACTTCTATTTTATCTTTTCTTATGCTTTAAGCATCGGTTTCTTTGAATCAGTGCACAATCTCATTGCCATTGTGCGGATACTTAGGTGCGTCGATGATAACTACATCATTTGACATTGATGATCATTATGACTCTCTTCGAAGCACTTCTATCAAAGCGTAGGTAGCGCTCTACTGCAAATATGCTGTATCTATTCAGATAACCACAGTACACTTGCCCCGAAGCATCTTTCAAGCTTATAACGCACGACGTCCTCAGGGCTCCTGCCCTCAATCATGGCGAACGTGTTACTCCGTGGCGACATCACGAGATGCGAAAAGTTTTATTGGGTTTGCAGCAGATTTGAAAGCATTTTTTATCCCAGCACAAGTGGTTTTTACTAGTTATACAACTTGCATGAGTAGGCCGCACAATGTATAATCGCTTCTCTTGTTCTCCGCACCGATGCATACCATTCAGCACTGCACCAAAAAAGCTATAGGGTATGCGAGGCTTTAGCCTGATTCCTGGCAAAATGGGGTGAAAAACCGTTATGTCTTTCGATGTCTACGGTCGTGTGACCCAAGGCGGGTGTCTTGCCGCGGCTTAAGCCATTCATTCCCTCCAACACCAAATGTCGCGTCGCAGCTATGTCAGGCCATTGAGGCATGGGATTACTCACATAGAGGCCACTGGCGAACATGGCCCCGTTATAAAATTACGATACTTACACACACACACACACACACACACACACACACATATATATATATATATATATATATATATATATATATATATATATATATATATACAACATGTTGGCAGTGAAAACTTCCAGTTAAACACGTAAAATCAAAATTGAGAACATGTGATGCTGTTTTACGCTAAACAAGAATTTTTGCTCACCTGCGGGCCCCAAACTCGGTTTTCATTGTTGTTGTACCCTCCACCGTGAAATTCTGCCTACCTCTTTGCGTCAAGGCGTTGGTCCGGTTTTGATTCCCCTGTGCACCATTTTCATAATAAACAACTTTGTCGTTTAACATATTAATGGAATATCCGCATTTTGGCCATAGTGCGGTGCTGCCGAAAATAAGCCCGTTTAAATCATTTGCAAGCAAATTTCTAAACGCCATAGCACACCATAACACCCGTGCAATTGCACATTTCTTTAATGAAACCTATGTGAAGCCGCATTTATCGCCTGCCAGAATATCGGCAACTGAAGAACGGCGTCGGCGGCGACGGGACCCGGCCGGTCCATTCGTGCTGAGAATGACACTGTTCAGGTAATGCTCGTCCGGTCTGCACACTGTTCAGGTAATGCTCGTCCGGTCTGCACACTGTTCAGGTAATGCTCGTCCGGTCTGCACACTGTTCAGGTAATGCTCGTCCGGTCTGCACACTGTTCGGTTAATACTCGTCCGACCTGCACACTGTTCGGGTAATACTCGTCCGTTCTGCACACTGTTCGGGTAATACTCGTCCGGTCTACACACTGTTCAGGTAATACTCGTCCGGTCTGCGCACTGTTCGGAGAATACTGGTTCGGCCTGCACACTGTTCGGCTAATACTCGTCCGGTCTGCACACTGTTCGGATAATACTCGTCCGACCTGCACACTGTTTGGGCGATACTCGTCCGTTCTGCACACTGTTCGGTTAATACTCGTCCGGTCTACACACTCTTCAGGTAATACTCGTCCGGTCTGCACAATGTTCGGATAATACTGGTCCGGCCTGCGCACTGTTCGGCTAATACTCGTTCGGTCTGCACACTGTTCAGGTAATACTCGTCCGGCCTGCTCAGTGTTCAGATAATGCTGGTCCGGTTTGCAGCCTCGCCTGTAAACAGGAAGTCACCTCATGCAGCTGACATAGTGCGGACATCATGTGCAGCAAAACGACCAGTTCACTGAGGATATCACAACAATATGTTGCACAGCAGTTGATCTTTCCTGGTAGAACACAGGGAACATTTTGTCAGCGTGCACGCCGCGTCCATCCACATGCCCCGCTACCTGGGCTTCACCAGCTCCTTGCCACCGCATCCGCATCCTTTACCTATCGCGATGGAGCAGCCGCGACTGCCAGCCGCTTGATTCAGACCAGCGTGGATTCTGGCCCGTCACTACGGGCAGCGAAGCCGCCAATTATGCAGCCATTCGGCGCGCCCTCCCGAGCTTCCCGGACAAGCCGGCCCGGTTACAGTGTAGCGCGGCGGCGCCGCAGACGATCACAGACGATCGGGAGGATCGCGTGCTGCGCCGCCCACAGCGAGAGTGCGACCGACCGCTGCCGGCCCGGCGTCTGGGCCGGGCGGGGAGGGGCGAGGTCTGTGCGGCACCGCCCGAGGCGCGCGATGCGCCTGGGGAGGAGGGCACGGTGCGTCACGGGAGCTCCCTGAATCGGCTCTGGTTACTCCAGCTGGTCAGTCGGGAAATTCGACAAGGGCAGAGCAGGCGCCGCATTAGCCATTGAGCGTGACGGCCTGCGATGCTAATTCGCCCCTGATTGGACGAGGATGGAGGTCTAGCTGTTCCACGAAACTCCAGAATCATTGCCAACCTGTTGGCTTGGCGTAACCCTACGGCAGAGCCTACGTAGTCCACCGTTCTCGCTCCCCAGTCTGACAGCCCACCCTCTCCACAGTCTCACTCGCGACCCGCTCCACAGTCTGACCGGCAGCCTGACCCCTGACCCGCTCGCCGGTCTGCGTGGTGACCCGCTCCCGCGCCCGGCGACGGAGCTAGACGGCCGGTCTCCGAGGGCGGCAGGCCTCGGCCGCCGCCGCAGGGCACGTTCCTGCCATGCAATTGCAGCCGTCCCCACACACAGAGCGAGAAACGCCTGACGGGCCGGCCACACGCCAGCCGGCCGGTCACGTGACCGCGGCGGCGGCGGCGGCGGCGGCGGCGGCGGCTCCGCAGTCGGGCCGTGTCGGCGCGCTCGGCATGTATAAGAGGCCGGGGCGCGCGCCTGTTGAGGTCACACTAGCCCCGACCCGTCCCGTCATGGCAGCCGCCCGCTCTCCTGCCCTGCCGCTGCTGCTGCTGGTGGCGCTCTTCCCGGCGGCTCGCTGCATGCCGATTGACAACGCCCTGGACGGTAAGAAGTCGCCCTGGGTGCCACCCTGGGAACTTGGGCTCCATCGTGTGGGACGCCGGGAAGGAGAGTGCTTTAGGATATCGAGCTGTGCGCGTAATTTACTTATGTTTTGATCACGAGGAGTCTGCTTAAGTCCCTGGTGCATAGCTGCGCTTCATGGATTCTTCTCCTCGTTTTGGACTCAGCGGTGTCCTTTCTTCCACTGAGTTCGTGTATATGCTCGTACAACTGGACACCTGGGTTAAAGGTTCATAGTCTATCCATTCCCTGTTAGGTACTCCAAAGGCACGGCCAGGTACATCCCCGGTAATAAGACTTCATGTAAGAAAGACAAGTCTTGAGCTCCTGGGTTTTCAGCATTCCGAGTTCACAGATTTTTCAACCCTGTTCACTCGTGACCTTAAACATACCTGGAAACGTCAAGCATTGATAACATAACCAATGCTTGCTTGACAACTTCGTTTCATCAGCACTTTTCAGTATGTTGAAGTCCGATAACTGTCGGCATAAGGTCTCTGAACTTATAATGTCCAGTAATTAAAGCATGACGCTAAATGCTCCGCTTGTTACGATGCATACACAATCGACAGTGTTAGCGACATCAGTGAGTGTGTATCATCAGCATCAGTGACATCTGTAAGTGGTTGGTTTCATGCCTGTTAAGCTGCTCTTATCTGCCTGCATCGGTCCCGTTTGCCGAGCGGGCGGTTTGGCAGCGGCTGCGCCGTTCTATCCGACGATTGCGTGCTAGCCGTCGTTTTAATTCTTGAACCTGTTATCGTGTAACTGACCGCACGCTTGCGTGGCAAGACCGAAGCCATCTAAAATAGATGCTTGGAGCTTTGAGCTCCCAGCCCGCCAACAACGGATGCCAAATTGGTATCGTAAATTGTATTTTTGTTCACCTCGAGTAGTCCATGCAGGCGAATTCACAACGGCTCAGATAAATCAAGGTCAAAGGCAAACCGTCACACAGCAGCCGCGTTCACTAGATTCGCGATTCGGGTTCGCGTCCCAACAGTCGCGTTTACTCGATTTGACCCACAGCGTTTAGCTGGCAACTGGCCAAAGCAGTCAGGGTGCAATAGGGTGCAATATGCTGAGATTACAAGGCACGGCAAAATCGCACGCCATCCGTGAGACGGCATGATCGAACTCTTCGCAACAGTCTGCGCTTACAAAGACTGATTGCAAAACCATTCCTTACGCTATTGAGCCATTTTTGATTGTCAAATGATTGCATTATTTACCTTCACTGCAAAGCTGGATTGCTGCCAAATGTCTCCTGTCCCCAGGCAAAGTCCTCTCCTGTGTCCTGGCACGCCCCCTACTTCTTACGCATCCAGCTGCTGATATCCCGTTCAGGGTGAATCGCTCCTGTGGTATGCCATCACCTCCCAAACATAACAACTCAAGCAGCGCTAAACCGGCTGAGCGTTCACGGCGATGTCGCCTCACGGTCCACGCCAGTGGGCTTAGCCCGGCGCGCGAGCCTGTGTCGAACGCTGACGCCACGCGACGTCGGTGCCGATCACGTGCCGCCCCGTTCTGCGGCGGCTCGTGTGGCCGGTACTGCGCGTTAATCGCCGCGTGGGGTGCGGGCAGCGGCGGCTGACTCAGCCCGGTGAGCGCAGCTTCGACGCTCCGCTATCGGCGGGGTGACGCGTGCCGAGTCCGGGAAGACCGATGTCGAGCCGCGGGGTCTCCGCAGTGACCGTCCCGCCCGCAGGAACCGGGAACCCCCCGGTGTCCAGGGTACCAGCGGGGCGCAGAGGGAGGGGATGACGAGTGGGGATCAGAGCGCCAAATTGGCATGATCGTCGCTGCCGAAAAGCATGTCACGCAAGGGTCCAAGCAAAGCATCGATGGGTGAAAGGGAGGGGCGCGATAACGTTGATGTGCTTTATTTATCCCGTACAGTCATGACATTGCACTTGGTACTCACGAATAGGGGCCGAGGGGTCCACGCTCCACGAATTTGCCCCTCCCCTTCCCCACTGGCAAGCTCCTGTCCGACCCTTTGTATGGTCGTCCATTGAAAAGCTTTGGTGTTCGGTGCACCTTGCATTCAGCACAGCTGGACGCACGTCCTCTTTACACAGCGGGTTCGGGGAATCCGTTTCCGTGAGCAGATCGCGTGTTTGGTAGCACTAGCAGTGGTTTGATGCCGTCGACGTATGGCAGGGGGTCCTTACTGGAGGTATGGGGCGTTTGGTACGTGCATCACCTATAGTTCCAAGGGCCGTCGTCGCCGCCTTGTATGGCATCCACCCTGCCCATCCTCCAACATTTGCTTATCTCCGTGTTGATTGTGAGAGGTCTGCCCACTTTACTTGTCCCGCTCATGACTGGCCCCTACCCTCGACCCCTGCGGCCTCTGACCCGCGGCCGCACCCCCAGCAGGGGTGTCCCTACTGACCCATCCACTCCCCTTCCGCACGGGCATTACCTCAGCCTGCTTATAACTGGTTCCGGCGACTTAAGTCGCCTGTCCTGGTCGGTACCGTGACCTCAACGGCCGTCAAACAGCCTCCCCCAATATGTCCCGCTCCTCCCCGCTTTCCTGAAGGCGACATGTCCGCGGAGGATGGATAGCATCCGACGCCGCTGTTGACAGCGGGACCGCTAACGGGGCGGCAGTCAAAGGTCGGCAGCGGCAGACACGTGCATGTCACACTGGCAAAGAGGGCACGGGCGTTCGGAATATCTATGGAGCTGATTATACTGTCTGGAGGCTGCGGCGCTTATTTGGAGGTTGGCTGTTTGCTCGATTATACGACCCACGCGATACGTGATGTCAGGGACGACTTTGTAGAGAGCCGCAACCCATTTTGAGAAAGCTGACGCGGAGGTGAAATTGCTCGCCGCTTCGGCGCACTGCATTCCCGTTCACGTGTGCACGCGTGTTCTCAGCGCCACGTGCATCGGAACACGTGTGTATGGCTCACCCGCCACCCGTCTCACCCGTCAGTCTCACCGTGTCCTCTGTCCGGCAGACGAGGTCCTGTTCTCGAAGCTGCAGGCCTGCTTCACGGCCAGCGGGATGGCGCAGCTGGACTCGCCGCTCGAGCAGCTGGCCGACAAGCTGCCGAGCTTGTCCCGCAGGAGGGACATTCTGCAGGTAGGCTGCTCACCCGGCGGCACGGGCGGGCACCGGGAGGCAGCCCGCGCCGCCCGCCGATACCGGACACGGCGTGGGGCGCGACGGCGGCGGCACCCTGATCTGGATGACTTTGAAATGAGCTCCGTACGATGGCGAGCCCTGCATCCCATTGCACAGAATGAATTGGGTAAAGCCGCTATCCATCCCCACCCTGTCACCTTGGGCGCCGAAGCATCACTTTGCCAGCGCTTGAAGGCTATCGGTTTCGGCGTCATATTCTGTGGTTGTCAGATGCCGTCCCAGGGGTGGGGTCAAAAGGCAGTAATACTGTGAATGGAGATCATCAACTGATATGCCAGCAAGTAAAAATAACGTTCCTGCTCGATTTCTGAAAGGCCCTAGGAAGCGTCTGGCAGAAATTGCTTCCAACTTCTGCGTTCCGTTAGAACGGTCTCACCACTGCCAAGTGCGTGATCGTACGTTAGTCATGCCGGCTGTACGTTACAAAACGAGATCCAGACAGGCGACCAGAGGCTAGTGACATGTGGTGACAAAACATGGCGCATACGTATGCAGTGGGCGCATTCTGCAATAATATTGTCTTTTTGTGTACATTCTTGGACGTTGACGACATGCACGCAATTTTTACAATTGTAGCAGCACCATATGTACCCAGGCATACCAAATGTTACGTTTGTCTCCATATAATATCGACATTATAACGTGGGGCACATTCCGTATGTAAAAATGCATGAGTGTCATGTGCTATGTTCATCATTACATCTAATTTAGGGCATTGTTTATTTGTCAGCACAGTCTCACCGTTCACTTTGCAGATGGCCAGAAAATTCACGTGATGCATTATCGTAAAGTTATTTGCCGGTAACGGTCGCACACACACTTTTCAATTAGCTATATTATACAATTACTATATACAATTATGATAGCTATACAATTAGTTAAGCTATATTCAGCGCAATTACCTCCTGTGCATAGTCGCCAGGGTACACTTCGGTGGACTGCTCTTGGATATGCTAAGTCCTTGACTGTCGCCGTCTAGTCATTAGCCTGGAGATCCAGCTGAGTACATGTAGCTGGGTTGCCCCATCAACTGCGCCGTGCTTCATTCAGTGCCTGGTACAGCACAGGTGGATCTAGCCTGGGCGTCGACGGTGGAATGCGCTAAGCCCGCTTATTGGTGTCAAGGGCATTTCACCAGATTCCGAAGCCCGAAGCCTTTCCGACGTGTTTTGTCTGAGAAGGACGTATCGCATGCAGTTCAGACCATCTATGAGCTGTTAATCAGGTCTTAATGGGCCGATTTAGGTAGCTTACGACGGCAAATAAGCATAGAGAAGGGGATCCGGGAGGGAGGGGAGAGGAGGGGATTTAAGTTTGAATCGCCCTTACGGTGCTGCACAACAGGTCTAAGCAGTGTTTTTGACAAGTCATCCTTCGCATGTTATCATGCAGAAAAGTAAGAAGAGGAAGCGAAGGGAGAGAGGAGTGGGGAGGGCACTGAAGGAGATAAATGCTTGCTTCCTTGGCACGGCTTCACGCACCGTTGGATGTGAAGATAAGTTGCAATTCACTGGTCCACAAGAGGAGTGAGGGCTCGGCGCCGGATGGGGGCTTTAATTCTGCGTGCCCATCTGCAGGGTTTCCTGGACTGTTGCTCCAAGCAGGACTTCCCCGGCATGGAGACGCTGGAGGCCAACAAGCAGGACAGCGAGGAGCTGTCGCAACAGCTGAAAGTGCTGCAGCAGAAGATCCAGACCATCTACAAGAACTACCTGATGGGCACGAGCGTGGGCCTCAGCATGCTCGGCTCGTAGACCGGCCCTGTGACCCGGCGTGCCGAGAGCTCGCCAGACCCGGGCTAGGGCCGGTGGAAATCCGGCCAGATCGAGTGGTCGCCGGCCCGCCCCGGAGACGGCCCGTCCGAGGGCGTGACGTCACTGGGGCTGCACGCGCGCGGCGCCGGGACACGGAGGCGGAGAGCCTCGCCGCCCGGCCGCCAAGGCTGCTGGCCGTCGCGCCGTTCGCTGAGGGTGTGCGTCCCGAGGAATCGCGCCGACCACGGGGTCGCCCTGACCTTGGAAATGCCCGAGGTGTAAGGAGGGCAAGCTCGCCTCCAGCTAGACAGCGAATGGGCTGGTACTCACACCGCATCGCTGGGCTCTGTGTAGCGTCAGCTAACTATCAGTATTTATAACTTTTTGCAGGTGGCAAATGTGCACTACACAGGCAGTGGAGGTGTGTTCATTGTCCGCGTTGTACATAATGTACATATCTAGACATGCCAGTTAGATCGGCTGGGAGACAAGTGTGCAGATAGAAACGTGACGCTCGTTTCGAACGAGCCGCATTGCGGCACGTGGATGTGCTTATTGCAATGTCTATGCCAACAAAGAAAATATATTAATACATGTTGCTTTGTGGTGTTGCGTCTGCTTCCCATTGCATTCTGGTCCACGGGCACAACAAGGCGTGCCTCATTTGCTACACATGTGCAAGAAGTTTGCGGTTGGGTTTTCTAGGCCCGGACAAACACCGCAGTGTTATGCTGAGCGTCCACCTCATCCTAAGGAAGCCGCAGTAGGCAGCTTCGACTTGGATTATTAATAGATGCCGGCGGTTGTGGTCTCTGACGCGAGCGCTCACGCGGTAGTCACGCCGGGTCTCGAAATTCCTCTAACGACAGACGGATTTGAACCTGCATGCCATTGCCCCCAGATCGTCAGCAGCTGGCAAATGAATCGGTCACACCGCTGGTCTGCTGACGGGTCGCGGTTGTTGGTAGCGTTTAAGTTAGCTGATATGGCAAACCCGACAATGATAGGCGTCAGATTCACATCAATTCACATGACGTCTCGGAGCATCCGCTCGCGTGGCTTATTGTCGCTCCAGTGAGCTTTGACTCTCAGCGTCGTGTTAACAACCGCTGACAAGCAGTCGGGACACTTCCGGGGACCACCCCACGTGTCGTCACTCGTAGAGCTAGCACCCTAACTGTAAACATATGCCGTACACCTCACCCGTCCACTGACGTCAGACGCCAAGCACCGCCAACATTTCACACCCGTGCCAAGAGAATGTCGTAAGAGCACGTGACCGACGTCGACACGACTGATGACGTCTGTTTTGTGCGTGCTTTAAAATTCTAGGGTAAGAAGATCGACATCAAGTAACAAGAAATCAGAGAGCAGCCGCACCTACCTTCGGTCAAATCTTGTACTACTTGTAGGCGGAACTTTATCGGTCATTTGGGATGCATCTACAGTACAAAATGAAATGAAATGAAACTAAATTTTGTGGCGTTGTGTAGGAGGAAATGACGGCTTCAATCTCATTTACGGTCATAGCCAAACTTCTTATCTCTCCATAACAACACATAAACGTCAATACTAAAAGCGTTGAAGAGGAGGCTGAGGAAAAGTTCTGTGGGCCCCTTCCCCTCTCACGTATGGGTTTCGCCACCAAAAAGTTCCAACCTAAACCAAGGCAACTAGGAAACAAAGTTCCGCCTTTATTTAGACCCTAGCATTGTTAGCATTTCATGCAAAGGTCCACCACTGATGATATTCCTTAAGTGTTGCAGGAAAATAAGCAATTTAAAAAACACCGTTTGCCCTTTTCCTGCCACCACCCCGATTTTATTGAACCGCCGCCACTGCTGAATGAATAATGCTCATTTTCTCCTCAAACCACATGAAACGCTTTCGTATAGCTCTTTCATTGTCCTCTGAGCTACAGCTACCCACAAAAAAGGACTGATAGAAATAGGACGGCATGATCAGCGCGAACGCATTTCCTAAATTATTGTCAGTAAATCGCTAAGTTCGCACAGAACAAGTAGTTTTGAGCATTATCAAGATCCTACAAATGATGTTGATCCTTACATCATCCGTTCTCCAAGATGAACAAAAGGATTTACCACTGTAGTCGGTGCCATCGGCCGCCTCCTGCCATGGGTGTCTCTGTTGGCGGCAACCGTCCTCAGCCAATGGTTACAGGGGAGTTTGTAGGGGCGTGGACAGAGGTAAGTACATCGCCCAGGAGATGGGCCATCCGAAAAGCCTCAGCGTATGTGGCGTGAGGCTCTGATGTGAAAGCTGGAAGGCTGTCTGCCGCCTGTAGCATGTACAGATGGGGCGTGGGCAGACACCAGGGAACTCTGGGATGTTAGACAGCCAAACCGTGTGCAGACGCGGGCCATCCGCATACACGGGGCGTGCTGACGCAGACAGACATGCAGCGGAGTCAAGTCGGTGCGCTCGATTCTCATCTGTGGCTTCACGATTATTCTAGAAATTTAGACGATGCAATCTGCAAAGGTATAAAATGACTTGACTGAATGATTTTCTAAGCAAAATGATAGTCGATCGCATGGCTCATTCTTGTGAAACAGAGATCCCCTAAGCCTGTTTCACAACGCTGTCTGACTTATTGATGAAACAATCATCTACCAGACAGAGAGAGCCAGACAGTTGACAGAAGCGGTCAGTTAGTTATTGAGTTTTAAGGGCTCGTCAATTGCATTGATTTTTTTGCGAGACAGAGAAGGTCCTTCTTCACATACCGGAAAATGTCAGTTTTATGTTGAGTTATCAACCGTCATTATAACAGACGGTGCTGACAAACGACATTATAGTCAAAATATGATCCACGCTTTAAACATCCAACGTTTCAAGGTGTGCTTACGGTCACAAGCGGATAAAAAACATGAACAGCGGAACAACTCAGCAGTCATAATGCAAAAATCAGTGAATAAAAGCCCTCATGCATATAGGAAGCTTTCATATGAGAAAGATTCTATGACCCAGTCAAATATGTTGCTTTCAATGCAACATGCTAGTAATTGTAAATCACGGCTAAAAAATTATTTTTGAAATCCGTTATGCGTTCTTTTAGAGAATGCTCAACTTAACAGCTGTCTCCTTAGTTGACCTTCTTCTGACTTCAGACTTCTTCGGAGGCGATATTCACTCGTGCTTCTGGCGAATGCAGTTGCGAAAGCAAACAATGTTCAAAAATTTGCTTATTTAGTCAGCTGGAGAAGCGAGCTAAAACCTACAAATAGCGGAGTCAATCTTGCAGGAAATCGGTAAGTATTAGATCTGGCTACTTTAGCCAACCAGTGACCTTTTCGGGCCCGCTGACCTTAACACCTGTCAAAATGGAACAGAACACTGTACTTTGTTGCAGTACAAACGGCGCTTCCATAGTCGAATAAGCACTGTCTCGCCTTTGGGGTCCAATTCGATGGGGGACCTACGCCTGGAAACCATGGGCGTACGCAGCGTGAGGGGAAGCATGGGGGCGTGCTTCTCTGGTCAAATGTGGGACCCCGCTCGTGAGCGGTAGCCATGACAAAAATAACGCCTGCAGGGCGACAGCTTCCATATTTTTTACAGCCCTCCAAAGAGTACCACCAGGGCCCCAGCAAAATAGTGATGACAAATTTGTCAATGCCCAACGAGTGCTCCCGTCATTCTGTCCTGTTGAGATTGGGTCTCCTGTCGCGATAACTCCGCTTTCGCGTACTCCTGCTGGAACAAAGTCATGGAAGCATTTGCATAGGCCATTGCCCCTAATTGGACATTGAAGAGTAATATGTCTATTTGATAACATCGGTGGCTTGATGAGTGCCGCACAGTCTATGCACGACTATATCACGTTTGAAGACCGATGGCTGGAAATGGTAAACTTCGTCTCTTCTACCTCTTCTACCTTCGCAAAATTTTCTCCACAAGTCTGTCAAAATCATAACTGGGCCCACCGACGTGAGATACAGCGGGACTTCATTTTGCTGGCGCCGTGTTAATATCGAAACTGTCGTATCTTCTATACCTTCCTCCGTCCTTTAACACTACACATGGGCTTGTCAATCCCATGGCGCTGACTCTTGCCCAGCTGTTGTGAAGAAACGCTTTTACGGAATATGAGGAGCATGTCGGTTGAATAAAGGTTCCAGCCGAACACTCGTGGCTCGTTAAATTTATTATTTTATATCCAAACCTCATAAATTGTCTAAATCATCACAGGCACAAGCATACACATGACATATTTTTACCCAGTCCCTTTTCTAACACTTGCGTCCCAGTTCACTACCAATATTCTGTGACATTATGTCTTAAACTTGTGCTCTCCGTCCCGAATTACACGCGTGACTTGAACATGACCTCTGTGTCATCAGTCAGACTTAAATATATGAACAAGAGCTAGGTCTTTCACCCCGGGTATGCCGTACACTCAGGGGCGTAATTCGCTTCAAACTGATTGGGGGGTTGGGTAGAAATTTGAGCGGTGAAAAATGATGAAACCTGCTCCTAAAGTCCGTCAGTAAACGGAGTTTACGCCGGATTTAGTCCATTTTGTTCCCAAATTTGGGGGCTTGTACAGCTGTTTATTTTCGAGGGGAGGGGGAGAGGCTGAAGTAGCACCCTCTCCACTGAATAGGAGACTGCACCTCTGTTTAAAGTCACTGCGAGTGATCCATAGTTATACTCACGGCACCGCGGGGGTGTTAACCGACCGCAGCCATCTGTCAGCGTTTACAGCTCCCTCGTTACGTGTCCCGACATAGGGTTCAGAGACATTCGGGCGGCAAACAATGACGCTGGTGTGTTCAACCACGCACTTTGTTGACATTTCTCTCGTGCTTGATGACATCACGAGGCCTGTAAGGTACCAAAAATCCTAAAAATCGGCTAACGGCTATAGGGCTATGCAGCAGTGAACATGACGGTGTTGAAGCTTGCCAGGCAGTGAAAGACTCGGCTCTTCACATTTTTTTCTGCGCTCCAAGAAGGATCTTTTGGCCTACTTGCTCACTCAAAACAAGACAAACGCTTGAAGGAAGTGCATACAGTAACATTATTGCAAATGACGTTGACATATGATGTTTTAGAAACGGCAATGGTGACAGCTACTCCGAACCCTAAGCGTAGCAACACATTAAAAAGTCTCAGGCCTCGGTAC